TCCTCCGGCGAGAAATCGTTTTTGATTATGAACGTGCTACGAATCTCATCCAGCGTTTTTCCTTTGACAAGCCAAGTCCAACAAACCTTTAATGTCGAGATAATTTGCGGCGAGGAGGAGATCATAGAGTTCATCAGTACCAATCTTCATAAATTCAACGTACCATCGTCGTCGACATTGTTCGAGGATTCACCGTGATTCTTCAGGTATTCGAGGACTTTGCCCGTAACATTTGGAAGAGGAATTGCGTTTCCAGCACAGTCTTCCTCGATGGTGGTTTGAGACTGAGTTGCTGTTGTTTGACCGACTTCGAACAGTCTGCCATCAGAACTCACAAGTTTGATCGTCTTTTCATCGGAGGAAGAGGAAGCCATACACTCAGAAATATCAAAGAACAATAAGAAGAAAGAGTTTTGCTACATGGACCCAAAATATATGACCAACATGGGGGGACAGGTGAGGTGTCCACTTCCTATTGCATAATAAATTAGTCATCATTAATGATGATCAGTTTATTATGCAATAGAAGGGGGACACCTCACATGTTCCCTATCGGTCCCATATTTTTGGCTTTTAAGAAATTTTTCGAGAAGAAATTAAGTTTGCGTTTGGAGAATAGCTTGAAGGCCTAGGACCCCATTTATAGGTTTAATATACCGAATCCAAGACGATTAGATTTGTTGGATGTATCCCAATCAAATCAAATTATTACTGTGACTGATTGGGGTCCTAAATCTGATTGGTTTTTAACTACAAACGTGAAGGTTAGGTTTCGTACCATATATATATTATGATGCAATAACTGCTCTTTTTTTCGTAATTCCTATAACTAGTCTGCATTCTATGCAAAAATATGGTTTCTATTTTTTTATTTTTGGTATAGTAACTTTATATTTAAATACAGTTTTGTAAGTGTTACAGTAGCATTTTTTAAATGCTACAATATCCCTCTTAAGCTACAGTAATAATGCTACAATAATTTTTTTGACGCTACGGTTCCCACCAACAATAATTCATGTAGCATGAATGGTGAATCCTGAACCCTCCTGTCTGTGCTACAGTAACAATACTACAGTTATTTGCTGTAGCATGAATAGTAAATCTTGGATCATCCCATTATTATAGAGGAATAAATATCGATGCGCAGTTCTGTTTTTGCAAAAATCCCTTTAATTTTGACCGATTTTGAGATAACCCCCTAAACTTTAAACATGACATTTAGCGCCCTGATTTTTAGGTGTTTCAAAAAACCGTCCAATATTTCTAAATGTTAACTAAGGGCCCGTTTGGATAATGGAAGTATTAGAAGTAAGAAGTAGGTTATAGAAGTAACTTTCAAAGCTATGAAGTAGGAAGTAGTGGAAATAATATTTTTTTTTGTTTCATATATTTTTAGAAGTAATGGAAGTAGAACTTCTTCCTCTTTATTTACTTTTTTTTGTTTGGATAACATTTAGAAATATTATTAGGAAGTAATTTTATCAATGAAAAGTTGTTAGAAGTAACTAATAAAGAAAATATTAATAAAAAATTATTTATGTCATAATTAATATGCATTTCAACTAAACTAATAAAGAAAATATTAATAAAAAATTATTTATGTCATAATTAATATGCATTTCAACTACTTCCGAAGTACTTCTGAGTATTGAGTATTGGAAAAATATTTTGGAAGTAAGGATGACACGTAGGCATCACATAAGCATTTAGGGAAGTAGTGGAAGTAAGTTTTTCAGAGAACCAAACGTACTTTTTTGCTTGGAAGTAGCAGAAGTAGCCTCTACTTCTTTTACTTCAGTTACTTCATAATTACTTCCGTGCAAACAAACAGGCCCTAAATCCTAATGCCTAATGGTGTTAGAAGAACCGGTGGGAGAAACCGAATATTTTTCTTATCAAACTAACATTTTAGTTATTAAACTAAACTAATTAATTAAAAATTATTTAAATTAATAAAAATCCCTAATTCGATCAAACTGAAACGGATGCGTAAACATTACCTTTGTTGTGCTGAAACCACTTGTTGGGATCCGAGGAAATCACACAAATGCCGAGAAAGAAAGCCAAACACAATCCAAAAAAACGGCACGAACACAAACAAACGAATTTTACGTTGTTCGGCAAGTTGCCTACGTCCACGGGCAAGAAGGGGATGAGTTTTCACTAATAAAGAAGGAAGAGTACAAATAGAGATTACAAAATCACTCAAACAAATCTCTCTAATCTCTCAAACAAAACCCTAAACCAATAGCTCAGAGAAAACTCTTTTTTCTGTGCTCCAAATAACCCTTTTACTGCTCCAAAAACCCTAAAAAACGTGTTTGTATATATACCAAACACAAATCCCAAACAGAACATGAAACCACAATCAAGCCCAACCTGACGATCGGCCAGAATGACGGAAACCAAAAAACTCATTACAGGGTCTGCGGTCAACCGCACTTGACGCCACGGTCGACCGACCAGAAAACCAAAAAAACATCATGTAGTGTGCACATATTCGGTCGATCGGCCTAGCCTCGCTGTCGACCAAACAGCACCAAAAATCCCACTTGTTGCGTCTAGTACAAAGTGAAACAAATTTAAGATAATGGACTCAATCCACAACAAGTCAGGAACCGAAACGAGAATATGAACAAACTCTAAATGTCGGTATCAACTCACCAAACTAGCTGCATCAAAATGATTACCTACGTATCCTCTTGCCTAAGGAATCAAGCCTCATGTAGTTCACTCAAATTGCCGTAAATGACCTTAATCAACTAGAAGGATTTTTAAACCTTCACGATCATCACCAACAAATCTGCAACTGATAACCCTCCTTGATAGCCTCAAAGTGAAAAGAACCAACTTCCACCTAAGATGAACCATCGGTCATAGCCAAATCCGAACTGTGTCCACCAGCTGCACTCGAATTCTGAATCTCAAACTCATCATTTGCATCCACATCAATATGATCCTCAATCTGTGTCACCTCAACTGGAATCCCAAACGATACAAAATGATCTGGAGAACATGGAGTAATCTCCACCCAACGTGGAGTAATTTCCACCCAACATGGAGTAGCATCACTCTCCACCTACTGCGATATCCCAACGATCTGTCCAATACTCTCCACCTGTCGAGAGTCAAATGTGACATACCTGCTCAGAACAATATTAAAGTCCAATACCTGATAACCAAACATGACTCTGAATCCCAAATGTGCACTCAGATCAAATCTCACATCCTTGATGTGACAATATACTGGGCATCCAAATATCCGAAGTAACCCAAAATCTAAAGCAGCTCCACCAGATCCAAATACTCCAATCGCAGCAGACGGCAACTGTAAATAAGATGGCTCTAATATGTCAAAGCCTCCACACCAAAACTCCTCTGCAATCCACTGCTTGACATCAAACACTGATCCTCCTCTAGCAAGGAACGACTCATCAAATCTGCCACCTCATCTCATTGCCCCAATGTTTCCTTTTCAATGAAGTGTCTCAAACTGTCTTGAGCTAGGTACAGATGGAGAAACGGATCCCTCTTGAACTTTTCACCAAATTTAGAATAAAGTATTTCCCCCTTTCTGCCTATACACTTCTTTCACCTGTTGTTAACTACTAGGACTTCACTCCAACGGGACTTGGTTGCAACCCACAAATGCCTAGAACAGTCTCCAACACAGGAAATCAAATACCTATTAACTTCCAATGATGCCTCCTTAGAAGGCCCCCAAATGCCTACGTAAACATCATCTAGAAGACCCTTCGCTCGGTGAATAGAAGTGCCAAACTTCACCTTGGTTTTCTTGCTCACACCAACATGTTCACAGGACTTCAATATGCAAGTCAAAGCACTCATCACAATCCATGCACGACATCACAACTCGAATATCCCAGCCTCAAATGCCATAGTTTAGTCAAATTCAAAGAAGTCGTCAGCTCTCCACCTGTCACCGTGCTTCCAATCAAGTAATACAAATTGTTCTTCTTCAACTGCGGAACGAACATCACTTTCTTCAACTCCTGAATCACCCCATCACACATCCTAATCCGAACAGTACTAATACCACTAATAAGGTATTCATAATCATTACCCATGAGCACGACATCCAGCTCCTCAAATCTGAAGAACCAATCCCTCCTAGGGCAAATGTGATGTGAAGCACCCGAATTCAACATCCACTCCGTAGAGTCGGCAACACAAACCGACGGTAGTGCAGGGCACGAGTAGCCCGAAGAATTCGAATCTGAATTGTCGCCACTAGCTTTGACAACATTCACCTCTGAAGCTTGTATAGCTTTTCCCTTATTCTTCCCGGCTCGACCTTTTAACTTTGGGCATTTAGACTTCCAACGTCCATCTTCTTTATAAAAAACACATTGATTTCTACCAACTGAAGGATGTGCTCCTCTAAACTGTGACTTCCTACTTCGGTTTGGACTCTTCCCTCTTGCGACCAATGCCCCCGCTACTGTATCAATTGAAGTAGTGGTCAACTCATTACACTAAGTACACTCCAAGAATTATATTATCCCCCTAATTCACTATTAATATAATTTATAACCATGATATAGTAGTGGTCAGCTCACTAATTTTTCTTTATAGTGAAGATGATCCGAGTACAATAGAAACATAGAGCGAGTGGAAATAAGGGAGAGGAAAGAGATACTTAGAGAGTATTTGAGGAGGCTTATTTTTTAGTCAAACTAACTTTTGAGCTTTTTTTATTTCTATATGTTTGGTAAAATGCAAAATAAGTTAGCTTATAAGTCCCATTTTAAAAAGCCGGTATACATCAACATTTGAAAAACTAGCTTATAAAATCATTTTAAAAAGCTAGATTTGACCAAGCAAATTACTATTCAATTCAACTAATTTTTATTAAAAAAACTAAAAGCCATTAAAATCAGCATAACTTATTAGTAAGTCTCATCGGATCCGGGTTTGATACCGAAATCCGTTAACCCATTTTACCTCTTTATATACGCTCACACGAAGAGTGATGCCCTAAGCCGCTCACCCCTTCACTCCACTTCAACCCTCTCCAAAGATTTCACTTCCATTTTAGCAAAAAATTTCAGCGAGGTAAAGATTTCAACCTAGGGTTTGCTTATTCCCGTGTTCTGCTTCAAAAATCGAATCTTTTTCTGATCCTTTCTCGATTAGGGTTTAACGGTGAGAAATGTCGGACGACGAGGCGAGGGAGGAGAAGGAGTTGGATCTTTCATCTCCTGACGTGGTTACGAAGTACAAGAGCGCAGCTGAGATTGTTAATAGTATTGATATCAAAACACTTCTCTCTTTAAATTTCAGCAGAAAGATCGTAGCTTGCACTGTTCATTTGAAATTTTTTATTTATGTTCCCTCAAATTAATTATTAATTGTAGTTGCAAATTTGACCGTAATTTAGATATATTCTAATTTACCTCCCACTTCTACTATATTACAGGAATGTTAGTTGTTTAGCTGAAACTTTATGTGGTAGAATTGGAGGATAAATTAGCAGTTTGTGCGGGGTAAAGTTGCAAATATGGCTGCTGTTGGGGCATATGGGTAAAAAAAATCATTTGCTTTCATGTCTAATATTGATGTTTGTTTTGGGAACAGAGGCTCTTCAGTTGGTTATTTCGGAGTGTAAACCGAAAGCTAAGATTGTTGATATATGCGAGAAAGGAGACAACTTCATCAGAGAGTGAGTGTATATTTGCTATTTCAAATAATGTTTATTAGCTTAGAGTATTGTCAATTCTGAGATTTGGCAGAAGTGCATATATCTGTTTATGGGTTTGTCTTCAACTAAGCCTATAGTGTGGTTAATTAATTTTTATGTGAAATCATGAGGTTGGCACAACGAGTTTACAATATTTCACATCAATTTGCAAAGCAGGTGTATTTTTGAGTGAATTTTTGAGACACTACATTGCCTTATGTCATCTTAATGTGAAATTCTTGTATTAGTAGAAGCAAGGTTCTGTTTTGAGTGTCTGCTCTCGTAATCGTAATTATTTTGTGTGAATGAAGCATAATAAGCTATAATGTAAATGCGGAATGCTCATATTGTGAGGGTTGCGGGGACTTTATGATTAATGAGTTCTCAAATTATATATATCTAAATGATCTAAAAGTAGTAGTTGAAAACTTCAGATGAATATTAGTATGAAAGCTATAAATTTGTATTTATCAATGTGGGAAATCCATAAATTTGTATTGATCAATGTACATAGTATGTTGTCTACCTTTTTAATAATTTAATATCTTTTTTGTAGATTTTATTGAAATATTTTATATATTTGGATTGATATGTATTGGAGGTAGTATTGGTACAAAGAGCATGCTTGTCCCATTTCGTATGCTTCACAAGCGCTTATTGTGAGGGTTGCGGGGACTTCATGATTAATGAGTTCTCAAATTATATATATCTAAATGATCTAAAAGTAGTAGTTGAAAACTTCAGATGAATATTAGTATGAAAGCTATAAATTTGTATTTATCAATGTGGAAAATCCATAAATTTGTATTGATCAATGTACATAGTATGCTGTCTACCTTTTTAATAATTTAATATCTTTTTTGTAGATTTTATTGAAATATTTTATATATTTGGATTGATATGTATTGGAGGTAGTATTGGTACAAAGAGTATGCTTGTCTCATTTCGTATGCTTCACAAGCGCTTGCTCCATGTTTGTGCATAACAAATTGTATAACATTTAATCGTAATGTTGGATTTAGGCAAGCTGGGAGCATGTACAAGAATGTGAAGAAAAAGATTGAGAGGGGTGTTGCCTTCCCAACTTGTATTTCTGTTAACAACGTAGTATGCCATTACTCACCATTGGCTGGCGATGAGAATGTCTTGGAGGAGAATGATGTTGTCAAAATGTAAGGTTTGATTGTAACTGGACTTGTTTTGTAATCTGGAATAAGTTTAAGGATTTTATAGGTATTCACAATTTTCCTCATTTTCTATTGCAGCGATATGGGTTGTCATATTGATGGGTTTATTGCGGTTGTTGCACACACTCATGTACTTCAAGAAGGGCCTGTGACTGGGAGAGCAGCGGATGTAATTGCAGCAGCCAACACTGCTGCAGAGGTTGCCCTGAGGCTTGTGAGACCAGGGAAGAAGGTAGGCAAAATATATTTCTTGGCACATTAGCACCAAAGTGTTCAGTATTCACAATTAGTTATTTCTTATTTATTGATATTAAACTATGTTTGTTTTGTGGATGTGCTTGATATTGGTGTGGTTCTCTTTAGAGGTTTGTTTCGAGGTTTTTGTTTAACTATGGGCAATATTTCTTCCGTGAGATATTAAAGAGCTTCAACAACATTGATATCTATGGTACCTTTGCTTTTGGTTCATATGAGACTAAAATATTTAGTTTTATTTACTTCACCATCCTATTTCTTGAATATTCTTCTTAAACCTGTTCTCTTCCTTTTTGGTCTTGACATTCTATGAATTCTCTAAATGATGTAAATCTACCTTTAAGCGATGGATCAATATCCAATGAAGCTATTGTCATAGTTACTCTGATAGAGATTCATGTTTTTGTTATTTCCTTCATTTTAGTAGATTCTCTTTATTCAGAACTAGTTAAATCCTTGCTCAAATTTGAAGTTTGTGGATGTGAATTTCATTGATTGGAGATCATGTTGTTGTGAATTTATGATAACTTTACTCTATGACTACTTTATCCTTGTAAAACTTACGATTCAGAGATTCCATAATGGGAAATACTTTTTGAAGGCTATTTTGTTTTCAATGCGTGGATTCTCTAAATGATGAAAATTTTCTTTTAGCTATGGATTTATCCAAATGAAGCTCTTGTCATAGTTACTCTGATAGAGAATCACAATTTTGTTTAATTAAAGAAACTTTCTATGTTTTACGATTAAATACATGGTTTATTGTTCTATTTTTTTTGTAAATTTTCCTGTTTAGAAGTGTATGTCCTCTTTGTCCTTCGTATCATTTTGGATTCTGATTTTGGTCCTTAAAATAATTGGTTGGCATGGTTTTCTCACTACCCGTCTCTTAGTTAATTTGTGTGCAGAATATCCCATAATGCTGCTTCCTAGTTCCTATATGGCGTAGTTAGATTCTGTGTGCAATAAATGGTTTTTTTGGAGGTAAAATGTCAAATAGAAATAGGATTCTATGGCAACTTTGCCGAGGTGGCTGTTTATTGTTGGCTTCCTCTTTTCCCTGTTGCCGACATTGTGATCTGATGCTTCTGGCTCCTATTGCAACTTGCTTATTTGCCTAGAATCCTGGAAATTCCTTTGTAGCCTACATCAGGCATATGATGAGTAAAATTTAGTCTTATTTAAGTCATTTATATCACAGTCTTTCTTTCTTTGTTCTTCTGAATTTTGAGATTCTCATTTATTAACCTCTATTCCCTATCATTTTTTAGATTGCATTTGTGAAATGGTCCTGATAAGTCTGAATCCCTATCCTTGCCCTATAAAAGGTGATTTCTTGTCTGGTTTAAGAAACATCCCTTTCCAGTTACTTTTCATCCTTTCTCTTACCAAAATTTTTGTAGGCAATTCTTGGACTTGGTCAGTGAGTGCAGTATAGGAACTACTCAAAAATATATTTACAGTGACCTCAACATAAGCTCATTACCAATTATATTTAACAAATTGATATACTATAGATACAGAAACTAGAAAGCTAATATGTGTTGCACCTAGTTGGTTTCATTGGTTCACAGTTGCAGGTAGTTTAGTTGGTCTTTTGGCGTTAAATGTTAAAACTTTATTCGGTCATTTACTAACTATTCCTGGAATACCACATTTTGATAGATTGGTTGCATGCTTTACAAAGAAATATCTAGTTGTGCTTCATTGTTCTCTTCTTGGTTTAACAGAATAAGGATGTCACTGAAGCTATACAGAAGGTGGCTGCTGCATATGATTGCAAAATTGTTGAAGGGGTTCTCAGTCATCAGCTCAAGCAGTTTGTAATTGATGGGAACAAAGTTGTGCTTAGTGTATCCAATCCAGACACTAGAGTGGATGATGCAGAATTTGAGGAAAATGAAGTTTATGCAGTAGACATTGTCACCAGCACCAGTGAAGGAAAGGTAAAATGAATCCCCTACCTGATTAATTAAAAAAAAACATCATTTTTCTTAGTGTTTTTTGCTAACTCTTGCAAATTCTTAATTTGTAGCCCAAGTTATTGGATGAGAAGCAAACCACTATATATAAAAGAGCTGTAGACAAAAATTACCACCTAAAATTGAAGGCATCAAGGTTTATTTTTAGTGAGATAAACCAGAAGTTTCCAATCATGCCATTTACTGCAAGGTTTGCCATCTTCATCCTGCAAACTTCGTTAATCTTTGTCTTCAACCTTACCACTTTTTTTTTTAATTTTTATCCCAGGGCTTTGGAAGAGAAGCGTGCTCGGCTTGGGCTTGTAGAATGTGTAAATCATGATCTATTGCAGCCATACCCTGTTTTACACGAGAAGCCTGGTAAGCTCTATTGAGTTCTAAATTTATTCTATAACCAGTAATATAACATGCTACTGTTAATATAGTCCAAGCATTCTCGAAATAGCTTCTGATATTTGTTCCAAGTAATGCAGCCTAGCATTCTTCTACTGGTTTCCCCAAGTTTAATTTGAAGTTTTTCCCTTGTTATTCTTTTAGACGTTAATGAGACAAAAGTGTTTAACATATTGTTGTTCATTAAAGCAAATCAGTAAGATAAAAAAATGAAGTGCTGTTCAAAGATTTGATGAGTACTTGGTTTTTGCACCTCTCCTCTATTATAGTCACACACATGAGACAGATGCATGCTTTCAGACACTAGAAAAGGTTTAATTGAGAACAAACCCCCTGTAGTATCACCCAATTGTGCAAAGACCCTTGTTGTTCTATTTGTGGCGAATGGACCCCTTGTAGTATTGACTCATATGAACACACCCCTTTAGTGAAAAAGACCTTTAGTAAACTCTTTCGACTCTTTTAAAAATAAAAATGAATTAGCAATTGAGGATCTATCATCACCAATAGAACTATAGGGGTCTACATGCCTCAAACGTTTTTAACAATTTTAAGAATCAAAGAAAATTCGCTCTGGGGTTCTACTCACAAAATAGAACTACAGGGGCTCTATTCCCAATTTGGTGATCCTACAGGGGGTCAGTTCACAATTAATCCTGTAAAAAGGGTTAATTGCCGATAGGCGCCCTGTAGCATGATTGTTTTGAACCTACCACCCTCTAGTTTTACTTTTGCAAGTAGACCCCCTGATTGCATTTTTTTAAATTCGCTTACCCTGAGGGGTTTATTTGTTGAAAAACATTAATCTTTCTCTGAGAGTAAAAGAGTCAAAAAAAAAAAAAAATCACTCATGGGATCTGTCTGCATAAGAAAAAGTAGAAAGGGTAGTAAGTTCAGAACAGCGACAGTGCAGGGGTCTATCCTTAAGTCTATCCTTAATTAACCTTGTAGAAAAATTGTTGAACATGTTTATGTTGAACTGTTCTCTTTTACGTGTTAGGTGACCTTGTTGCTCACATCAAGTTCACAGTGTTGTTGATGCCAAATGGATCCGACAGGATTACTTCTCATCCTTTGCAGCCGCTGCAAACTACAAAGACAATAGATGACGATCCGGAAATTAAAGCATGGTTAGCACTGGGCATAAAGACGAAGAAGAAAGGCGGAGGAAAGAAGAAGAAAGGTTTGTTTTTATTTCGCCATTCATATATTAAAGCCCGTCTTATTACTTTTGCTTGTATTCAAATCAAATAATATTTTGATGATTTGTTAGGTACTCCTAGGTATTTATTGCTGGACAAATGTTTTTCTTGAATTTTATACAGGTAAGAAAGCTGAGGCCACAGAAGCGGAGCCAATGGATGCAACGAAGGAATGATGTACTACTGAGTGTTGTCAAAGTTCACAGTTCTCTGAGGATTCTCTGGCGCATGAATTTCATACTGAGCCAAAGATGCGAGCGAAGTTATGATAATATTCGACAAAATAGTCGCCAAAGCTTCTGGCAGTAGAAGGTTTGCGCCTTAAAAAGTTCAAATGTTTAAAGAGTCACGATGCGAAAGCTGAATTTGTATCTAAATCGTTTAGATGGAAATATTTTTCTTAGATTTCTACAATGAAGGAGAAAAGAGAGCCCTTTTTAGTTTTTATTATGCGCTCAAAAATCTTGCCTTTGTTGCTTTTTGCTGGGTGTTCTTCTCTTTTTTTCTTGGATATTTTCTACTTATCGACTTGTTTTACTATCCGTATGAATATGAATTTCCTCTCCCTTGGTTGTTAGTTAATCAAAGATTAGGATTTAAGCTCCTAGAATTTGTTGAAATTTTGTACGAGTTTACGTTGGTTCATCTAAACAAAGGAGAGCTTTGGCGATATTGCGATGGCATAAACTCAAATAATAAAATCTTATTGATTATATTATGTAATTAGAGTACCTAAAAAAAGGTAATTGCAATGAGGTTGTAAATATAGTAAATTATAAAAAGTAAGTGCTTCTAGAGGAGGCTACAGTAGATAAATGAACGCAAATTCGTAGCAGAGTAAAAAATCAAGAGAGGATTGTCAGGTTTCGTCAAAATTTCAGATAAATCCCTGACTTTTTCGTTATTTTCACAGCGGTACTAATTTTTCCTGTACTCCCCGTGACCCAACCGACGCGAAACTCCCCTTCATCAATAGCGAAGAGGACGAAGGCACCATCCTCCACGTGTAAATTCCTCAGAGCAATCATCAATATCAATTTCATGATTCTAGGGTTTCTTTCTTATTTTGTTCTCAGTTTTATTAAACTTCTTTCTTCTCTAGGAAGGCGAAGTTGTATCGATTCGATAAATTGAGTCACGAGTACGCGGATCAAGCAGCGAGGGGACGGAATCGTGACGCTGTTGAAGCACAGGGAAATCGGGAAAGCTTGATTGATTATGAGGGAGGCGAAGACGCCCATTCTTCGCTTAAATTATCATTATGGTAAACTTTAGTTTGTCTTAATGCGCATGTAAACTTGAGGTTTTATTTTTATATTCTAACTAGTGTGAACACCATGTAAAACACGTCATATTTTCCCACTACAGTAATTTCGGTCCTAACCGATTTTTTTGAATTGCTACAGTATCCTGCCTCTGCTACATTATTCCCGTGTGCTACAGTAATATTTTTCAAAAAAGAGTCAGATTCATGTTCGCTACAGTAATAATGCTGATGTAGTATTCCCTGTACCAGTTTCATATTTGATGCAGTAAATGATACTGTAGTATTTACTGTAGCATAAATAGCGAATCTTGGGTCTCCCATTTGTATAGAGGAGTACATAAAGAGATATCATTTTTTTTAAAAAAAACTGCGTCGTGACCACTGAGGTTTGAACCTATTTTGCTCTGATATCATATTAAATATCTTGTCATTGTTAAAAACTCCGAAGATGTGGTTATGGTTATATTTTTATATCCTAACAATTTATTTCGAAATAGATCAGGTTTAAGGGACCAATATGATAAAGACCCTTTTTTTAAGGTTTTGCAATTTTCTAGGAGTTTTGGTCTTTAGATTGGCTTAATGAGGAGTACTTTTTTTAATAGTTTTTTCGCCGATCGAGTTTCAGGCGCAGGTGGGGCATGATAAGTCTTATTTTTCGCATGAGCAGGATTTCAACTGCTTGGGGTTTTCAGAGGGGACAATGCCTATTAGATACATTGGTGTTCCTCTCATATGCAAAAGGTTTTCATACACAGATTGTGCACCGCTATTCAGTAAAATTTCTGACCAATTTCAGTCTTGTATGAATTACAGAAAATTATCATATGCAGGAAGGTTGCAAATAATCAAGAGCACCATATTAGGAATACAAGTTTTCTGGACATCAAATTATATCCTACCTATTAGAGTGCTCCAAAAAATTGATGAGTTGTGCAGGAATTTTTTATGGGGGAAATATCAATCTGCTAAAGGAATTCCTCTGGTCTCTTGGGAGAGGGTGTGTCTGGATAGGAAAAAAAGGAGGATTGGGGATATTTTCTGCCCCCATTTGGAACCTGGCCTCTGCTTTGAAGCTTCTCTGGCATATTCACATCAATAAAGAATGTTTATGGATAAGATGGGTCCATGGTACATATCTAAGGAATGGAAGTGTCTGGCATATACAAACAAAGAAAGGGGACTCATGGATGTGGAAACAAATATTAAAAGCCAGAGATAAAGCTGTGGAATTCAGTGGTAGTGTTGATAACCTGAAACAGATGATTAGCTCCTGTTCTTACAGCTCAAAAATCAAAATGGCTGAGTTATATCGTGCTCTCTCCCCTGCATCTAATTCAGTCCCATGGTATAACATGGTCTGGGGGGTTTATACTACCCAAAGCACTCTTTCATCTGCTGGTTGACTGTAAACAACAGATTGCTAACTCAAGACAGATTATTAAGAAGAGGGATTGTTAGTGCAAATCAATGTAGGTTGTGCACTGGTGTATGCTTAGAGAGCCGAAATCACCTATTCTTTGAATGCTCCTTCTCAAGGGAAGTGTGGAATCATATCATGGACTGACTTCATTTCAAATGGAGATCATGTAGTTGAGACTCTCTTGGATTGGTATTGTACTAAGCTATAAGAGGGAAAGATATAAAACAAAAAAATTAAGAGATCAACATTATCAGCCACTATCTATCACATTTGGTATGAGAGGAATATGAGGATCTTTCAGCTGAAGCATAAGACTGTGGAGATTAATTTTGGTTAAGCAGATCAAAGTTGACACTCTGACAGTATGCATAAATTCTCCATATATAGCTGAAAATGAAACTGATTGGATTTGCTCATTGTAAATGTGTATAGCCTTAAGATGATCAGGTTTGTCTCCTGATAGTTTTCTCTAAAAACTGAGAATCGTGATGTATATAAATGTTCTTATTTGGGAAATGAATAAAGTTTTCATTGACCGAAAAAAAAGATTTCTCTTATTTGGAGTTGGAGGAGACTTTATGTATTCGCTTCAGATCTGTTGAGGGTAAAATTATTTGCCCCTATCTTCTTCTTTATCATGGTCAAGTATTTGTAATTTGGCATTTTACAGCAATTACTCTGAATAATTTACTGCAACGTACTACTAACAGATTACTATAAGATAATGACATGCTTCTGATTTGATGTCTAGATCATGCAAAAGAGGGAAAATGTAGGAAAAAAGAGGAAAATTTTTATAAACTAATGAAAAGAAAGAAAGAAAGGAAGTGTGTCATACAATTGAGAGAACGATTAGTTCAATTTTTCTGAGGGGGTGTTAGTTAATTGGGATATTTTCATGTAAAATGAGATAATTTGTAAAGTGAAATAATTTTTCGCTAGTGGGATATTTTAGTGGGATAAATAGAAACAATTTTGTGAAGCAGGGTATTTAATAAAATAAGGTGGGATAAATTTTTATAATCATGAAATATATATTTATACATTTTAAAGATATAAATACTACTTATGTATTTTAAACTTACTATTATTGATTGATAATTGCTTACAAGAATGTTCTTTACTATTAAATAACTTTTGGTTAGAGTATAAGATATTGATAATTATTATTATTATAATGATGGTCTAATGATAGTGATAACCATAATAGGAAAGAAGTAAAAAAAAAAAGAAACATAAAAAATAACAAAATAAATATGAGTTCTAGTTTTTTATCACCTAGTTCCAAGCTAAAACTTGGAATAATTTGAGAGACAAGAACTCTTATTTTTGTATAGAAAAATAAAAAAAGTGGGATAATTTTATACCATTATCCCAATTCTAGTTTTATTAGAGTTCTACTTGACTAACACTGTAAAATTTTGTTCTAGTTTTAGTTCTATGTGACTAACACCTTAAAAATTTATCCCACAGATTATCCCAGTTCCAAATTTAAGTTCTAGATGACTAAATGTGACTAACACCTTAAAAATTTATCCCACAGATTATCCCAGTTCCAAATTTAAGTTCTAGATGACTAATCCCCCTGAGTGAAATTTTCTCAAACCGAACCGACCGAAATATATTCCACGACCGAGCCAGACCGTCAAAATTCGATCGGTTAACTTGGTTGAGTTGGCTCAAACCGATTAGAGCTCAATCCTAATTCAAATATGGAATCTAACGCATATTTCCCTGAGGGGATAAACTTGCTGATTGTTTGCAAACAGACGATAGGATCAGGTTTTGCCTCAATTCACTTTTTATTTATTTGTTTTTTTACCATCAGCTCCCTCTAGATCTCTAGCCATATATGACCTCTTTCTTGTATTAAACCCTAGCTCCACCAATCTCTCTCTAAAACCAACCGCCATGGCGAGCAGCTCCGATGTCAAGCTCAACGAAGTTGATTTCACCGGCGATGAAGAGGAGGAAGAAGCCATCTTCCACATGTACGTAGGTTCCTCGCATCTACCATAAAAACTTGACATGCACTTCTAGGGTTAATTTATCTCTTACGTTGTTGATTCGTTTAGGAAAGCGAAGCTGAGTCGATTCGATGAATGGGTGAACGGGTTGTTCGACGAAGGGCGCGGGTTGTACGGTCGGGGGAACGGAATCGTGAAGCTGTTGAAGCACAGGGGGACTGGGAAAGTTCGACTGGTTTTTATGAACGCAAGCACGCTCAAGATCCGCTTAAATTTTGATGGTAATTTTTTTTAATGTTGGATTGTTGGTATCTCAAACCTGACTTATTTTAAATGAGACGACGAGTCTTATATATTTTAAGCAAGTCCACCAAATCTATGCGTTTTTTGCTACTCGATCATCAAATGTTTAGTGAAAAGGGACGAGATTAATGGAGTCTAGTTAAGTTGGACAGCTAAGTTTAGCCTAGGGCTTTACTTTGGGGATTTTATTTCAATATAACGTAGTTTGGTGACCAATATCAGAACAAACCTAACTTTAAAAATGTTAAAGTAAGAGAGAGAGAGTCTTGGGTAAATTTTCCTTGAGTTGAATATTGAGTGTACACATATATTTATACAAGTAGAGGAGAGTGAGGTGTGTTCTCACAACCAATGTGGGACTAAAACCCACTACAATACACTATTATCAACAGCTCCCCTCAAACTCATGTTGGATCAAACAAAGTGAGTTTGCGTACAAGAAACTGGAACCGATGAACGAGTAAGGCCTTTGTGAAGAAATCTGCAAGCTCGTCAGCGGATGAGACATGAGGAAGTAAAATTGTTTTGTCCTTGATAAGTTGTTGATAGACATAATGAGCGTCGATCTCAATATGTTTGGTCCTCTCATGAAATATTAGATTATTAGCAATCTAGATGTCACTCTTATTATCACAGTAGAGAGGAGTAGGAGTCGTAACAGAAATACTAAAATTACTGAGAAGACGACGAAGATGAATAATCTCTTTAGCTGTTGTGGAAATTAAACGATACTCTGCCTCGGTGCTGGAAAAAGCAACAACATCTTGTTTCTTACTCCGCTAGGAAATTAGAGAATCACCAAGAAATATACAATAACATGTGGTATATTTTTTGGTAGTGGGATAACCGGCCCAATCAGCATCAGAATATGCACAAAGTTCTAACTTGGATGTAGCAGGAAACAGAAGAGAGCGAGTGCTAGTACCCCGGAGATACCGAAGAATCTGTAATAAGACAACATAGTGTACAGAACGTGGAGTACTAACAAATTGACTGACAATGCCAACAACATGAGGGATATTTGGTCGAGAGATGCACATATAGACCAACTGGCCAACAAGATGTTGATATTGGGTAGGTTCAAATAAAGGCTCACCATCAGTAGAACGAAGTTTGACATTCTGTTTGAGTGGATTATCGACAGTTGCATCGTCAGTTTGCTCAGCTCGATCTAGAATATCCGAGAGATACTTCCGTTAAGACAGTAGTACACCCTGCGGGCCTTAAGAAATTTCTAGACAAAAAAATACTGAAGAGATTCAAGATCCTTCATATGGAACTATTGTTGCAACTGAGATTTTGTGTACTGTATACCAGCCACATCGTCACTTGTAATGATCATATCATCAATACACTATTATCAACAAGAACAAAAAAAATCTTAACTTTGAACAACTATAGAAAGCCATAACTTTCAAAATATCAGAAAACCCCCTTCAATTTTCAAATTTTTGTCGTAAAATCTCCTGATAGAGTCAAGTGCAATTTTAACCATGTGGGTAAAATTATGCAAGAGGATAGTTTTTGCTCGTAAAAATTGTGGCTCATGCTTTTAGGAGGGCCTTTTTTTGTGAAAATGTTGAAAGTGGACCGGGTTTTCTAATAACCCCTTAAACTCAAGGAGATTTTCTAATATTTTGGAAGTTATGGCTTTAGCTGATAATCAGCCAAAGCCAAGGAAAAAGGTTGTTTGATAAATGTCTGTTGTTAAGGGGATTTCTGAAATTTAACCCAAGGAAAACCCTAAATTCTAGGTTTTGTTTTTTCTCTTTGGTTTTGATCTTGGTAATAGTTTGATTGAGGATTATTATTATTTCCTCCCCTTCAGTTGTTTCACCGATCAATCTACAAGAGAAGTGTGGGGATAACGCGTCCTGTATTTGGTATGTGCGGGAGTTGAAGGAGGAGAAGTTATGCATTCGCTTCAGATCCGTTGAAGGTAATATTATTAATTTGTCCCTGCAGTCTTCTTTTATTCTGTTATCATTATTATTTTGGTCTATATTTGCAAGTAGGCATTTAACATCAGTTACTCTCAGTAATTTACTACAAAGTACTGACTAGGAAATTAGTAGAAGGAAATCTGGCGATGAGATGAAACTATTTGATTTTTAAGATTGTTTACGTCACGGTCCCTTGTAGTAGACTATAAGCACATAGGTGACTCTGGGATCTGTATGTCTACATGAATAATCTTGAGATTATGAATGAGACTACACGGGTAACACTAATTAAAGTAATCTTTGAATTGTTTAGGTTTGCCCGTGTAAATATGAGTAAGTAACCTCAGTGAAGAGTCACAATGTGTAATTACACCAAACCATAAGATACCAGGATGTAAATAATCCTTCATTTCATAAAAAAGACCATTAGTGATATTTTAGTCATGATTAGGTACGTACACATAGTGTCGTGTAGAGTCAGTCATCCAATATGATGTAGTCTTAAATTATGTCCCTCTCACTATTATGTCAAAACTTCGAAACTATAATGAGTGTTGATGATTATATACGCTAAAACTTCAAAGTTATGATGACAGTTAAGAATTATATTTTTTATAGATTCTAACATGCCCCTTCAAGTTCATGGCTCTTTTAGTGGCCTAAACCTTGACTCACGCAGTTGTGTCAAAATTTTAAAAATACACTTTAGATTCATGGTCGGTGGAATTTAGATTTGTGTTGCTCTGATGTCATCTTAAAATAGGTCTCTCTAACCATGGTGCAAAAACATCAACATCTTGATGAGGGTTGATTATTATATTTTTATAATATAACATGCACTTAATTTGCTTTTTAATTAAACATAATTAAAATTTGAGAATGCTCAGCCTTCTTATCAAATTAAATTTGAAGAACACCACACAAATAATAATAATAAAAATAAAACCTAACCCAACTAGAAAACCATCCCCCCTAAAAAAAATGTTGAATGTGGTTTGTGGTTGAAGGAGGTGAAATTATTTGAATGATTCCTCGATATTTGACTATTAATTGTGGAAATTCCTTGTGTTTAATATGCTTTTTTCGGCTTCCTTTTTTACCCTACATCTTGTTAAGCAAATGAATTCAATAATTTCTTTTTCCTTTTAGATAATAAGGAGTTTATGGAGACTGTTGAGAGAATTAATGAATCACTGCGTAGAGATGAATAAGAGCGCAAAGATGTCACCTCTGCAGCTGGGCTGCTTGAGGAATTGAGCGTCAGAGGATGTAATGTGGGCGGGTTTCTAATGGAATCAGAAGAAGATGCCGCCGAAGAAGAAAAGGCCGTTGGATGATGCATATTTTCTGCAAGTTTTTTTCTCTCTTTCTTCACTTTTTTCGGATGGATAATAGTTATAAATATTTTTAAAAAATAATATTTTTTTTCCTGAATTCGGTTTCTAATGGAATCAGAAGAAGATGCCGCCGAAGAAGAAAAGGCCGTTGGATGATGCATATTTTCTGCAAGTTTTTTTCTCTCTTTCTTCACTTTTTTCGGATGGATAATAGTTATAAATATTTTTAAAAAATAATATTTTTTTTCCTAGATTCAGA